ACACCAGTGTGGAATGCCGACAGTCGTTTTTGTTTTAGCGACTGGTTCCTGTGATGGGCACCTGGAATGCCATCGCTGGCGCGGGGGATGTGTAGAGGAGACGAGCGTGCACCTTTCCGCACACTCGCATTCGAGTCGGGAGCCGCTCTCCATTCGTGGCTTTGACTCTTTAGGGGCCGTCCATAAATGACGTCACGCACCTAGTGGGGGGGGGGGTTAAGACATTTGTGACGATGTGTGACGAAGGGAGGGGGGGGTTGAGAAATGTGACGTCACATCAAAATGCGCAACTTTAAATAAATATAGACAACACGTTCTACTTAATTAAATGGACTTTTTAATAAATGTTTTCTCCTACAACATCAGAGTGCAGCGCCACATTAAATACGCACTACAATGGCATGTTTTATTTGGGGGGGGGGGCAGAGCTTTGTGACGTCATATTTGAGGGGGGGGTCTGACTTTTTGTGACGCTGTGTGACGATGGGGAGGGGGGGGTCAAAAATCGCCCAAAATCGCGTGACGTCATTTAGGGACGGCCCCTTAACGTAAAGCGGCGGTGACAAGTTGACATCGGCGGGATTTAAGATTTTGTTTTAGTTTCGTTTTCACAATTTGAAATCGATATATTATCTTTATTTCAGTTTTAGTATATGACTGACTGATCGGTCAGATGAGACTGGGAAAATACAGAGCTAAGAAATGGTTGGGAGTAAGAAAATGTTAAAGGAGAAAAAAAAATTCTCATTGAGAAATACATTTATGGGTGAGGGAGTGGGGGAGGGGGTATTCCTTTCAATAGTAAAAAGTCCATCAGATGCATATGAGAAATGATCGGACGACTCGTAATGTGACAGAGGCACTCTGTGTGAACGATTTGAATCGTGCGTTTTGTGTGGGGGCCTTATAAATGGCCTTCATTGTGGTGCAGGGTTTTTACTAAAGGGTAATAACGGTGGTCAGATTGCTTCCGATACTTGAATGCCTTCTGGTAGTTGCCTTATGAGGTCTATCAATAATGATGAAACATAATAGGTTTCGTCACAAGCATGTGTGGTTAATGCAGACTAACTGCCTTGAAAAAGGTATCTATTTGGCGTTTGAACATCATAACGCCTCTGATTTTATTGCCAGAATTTGGTCAAACCTATTCTTATTTTCCATCACTTATGAGTTCTGTTTGCCAGTAACACAATCTCCGTCCGTGGCCCCACTTTATTGTCGAACAATTGAATTCGGAAAATGCTTCCTGCGATGAATGTTACTCTGAGTATGCCCCACCGAAGGGGCAAGAGGTCAGTTGAGCCCCCAGCAATCCTGCTGGTGATGTTAATGAAAATCAAACTCAGGATTGTGCCTTTGATGCTCAGCGGGTTCTTATAGCTCTCGCGTGGAGACCACAGAGCCAGGTTTTAAACATTCCCAGCTCTCACCTCTCAGATGAACGCACGTCCTCGCGCATTCACGCAACGGTTGGCGCCACTGAACTTGAGATCCATAGGTCGCCGGGTTCCATTCAATCTCCCGGCGCAGCAAGTTCAAACAACGGTGCGACGTTACGTTAAATCCACCCCCCAGGGTAAATGGGGTGCACCGCGTGTGGTGGTGTAAAATATGGGTTCTCCTACCTCCTCCAAGACCTCCGGCCAATGTGGAGGGGTAGGGGAGGCCCTTCTGCCACTTGCTGGAGTGAGCAAGTCATTTGCAGGGATGCACATTCACCTGAGTGACTGTGGGGAATATATATAATGCAACTTACAGGAAGGAAGCGCTGGCAAGTTGTGGTGACTTCAACAGCTTTGGCTGCGGTGACCTCTGAACCTTGTCCTTTGAACGCATCGAGCGTAAAAGTCGACCGGTCGCTGTGCTGCTGAAAAAAGTGCAACTGGCTGCGCGAAAGAGCCTCTTGAGGGACATCTATGGAGGGGTTCTGCGATTCTAGATTTGAAGCTTTCGTGACTGCAAGGATTCATACTCTTTTGTTTTTTTCGGTAAAGTCACGTAGGTAAAACAGTTATTTTGCTGTGCATTTTTACACCTGATGAGGGAGGCTTGTGTTGCCTCCGAAACGTCGTGATTTAATTAAGTTGATCTTCTTGGTTCTTTCGGTAAAGTCACGTAGAATGGAAATAATAAAATAATAAAAATAAAACATAATAAAATAATTATCACGACGTTTCAGCCACAATGCAAGCAGCCGTCCTCAGGTGAAGATCAGGTCTGTCGGGGAGACAGCGTCTGAATGAGGTCATTCAAATATTAAACAATACAAATTATCACGACGTTTCGACTGCAACACAAGCAATCATCATCAGGTGTGAAAGCCACAGCAAGAAAATGTTCTTGAAACGTCGTGAGAATTTTTATTGTTTTATATATTTTTTATTTTTTTATTTCCCTTCTACGTGACTTTACCGAAATAACCAATAATATGACGGTGGGTTTATCGGCCAGGTTGGAGAATATCCCATAATAGCTAAAAGATGCGTTGACATTTCGATTTAAAGCTTTCATGACTGCAGGGATTCATCTTCTTGGTTCTTTCGGTAAAGTCACGTAGAAGGGAAATAAAAAATAAAATAAAATAAACATAATAAAATAATTCTCACGACGTTTCAGCCACAACGCAAGTAGCCGTCCTCAGGTTTTATTTTTTATTATTTTAGAAGAAGGGAAATAATTAACTAATACAAATATAACATTTTTTATTATGTTTTATTTTAAAATTTAAAAATTTTAAATAATTTATTATGTTTTATTTTTATTATTTTATTATTTCCCTTCTACGTGACTTTACCGAAAGAACCAAGAAGATGCGTTGACATTTATGTAGCTAACTCAGCTCAAGCTTCCCAGGTGTGGCCATCCCAACTCTGAATCCCTCCCCTCTCCGAGATGGAGAGAGAATGAATGAGCATACACAAGTGAGCTGCACGGAGGAGTGCCTGTTTTCACAGGGACAAGGCTGCCCCTCCCCTCTCATCATCACCCTCTCATCCCCAACATCTTGGACGTGTTGATCCCTTCTCCCCCTCCTCCCCTTCTCCCCTTCTTGCCTCGCACTCTTTCCTTCTTCCTATTTGATACTCTCATTGACTCCCTTTCCCATCGGGTACCACAGGTAAAAGGTTTTATTCGGTTCAAAATGTGGTAATGAGAGAGAAATATAGAACAATATCTAAAAGGCGTGCACGTTGTTGAAATGCAGGCTGGGAATTACTCTGAGAGACAGGCAGAGAAATAAACACGTGGATTGGAGAACAGCAGTGGGTAAATAACAATCATCGAAACCTTTAACGAAAGTAAAGTGGGCTTGGGCAGGACGTATCGAACGGACGATGGCCAACAATAATAGCGAAGTGCCAGCGAAGGAATGGGAGATGACGTGGACTGGGGAAACGGAGCGATGAAATGAGATCACGCGCAGGCGCTCGCTGTCATGGACCGCGGCATCGCAGGATTGTGAGAGGTGTCGGTGGCTTTGGAAGGCCTTCATCCAGCAGTGGATTGAGAAGAACTTTAATGTACCCCTCTGACACTGTGTCTGGACCTTTGTGTGGCTATCCTGAGCTAACACACCACAGGACACAGCACTTGGCATATGTTAACGATGGCAAAACATAATGATGATGCTGATTATATATCTACACGTGTTAATGGCTGTTCAGTGTCCTCATTGCAATGTTTGTTCTGCTTTTCCGCAGTAATTCTCGACTCTCTTTTAAGGTTAATATTTCGCACTTCCTACATGTGCTTGTCATGGTGAAAACCCATTACACGCATGAGTGGTGTATTGCTTCACCTGGTACGCAAGTGTCATGAATTGTCACGACTCAGGGTTGCGGTTCAAGAATTGTTTTTTTTTACATTTTGCTAATAATAGCAGCATTTATTGACTGCAAGGGCTCACGTTAAACCCATGACAAACACCTCCCAAAATCAGCGCACCTTTGAAACTTCAATCAAGAATAATAATCTTTATTTATAGAGTGCCGTTTCTTGCCACACGGTTCCAGGCCACTAAAAACATTTACAACGATAAATGTCGTAAGAACACTCACGAAAACAACAACTATAATGATGATTAAATACATAACGAGAAAAAAACACGCCAGTCAACCCCTTATCAGTGCCTTACCTTATTACAGACCAATTCAGACCTCATTGGTCACCCCGTGCCCTTATATATCTCAACGTTCAACCTACAAAGTCCCATCACAAGGAAGAAACAAAAATTTGACAAAAACAAAACGTGTTTTTTCCCTGTATTGAAACGGCTGTACGCTGTATGGACCTGAAAACTCAATTTCCCTGTACAAGAATACGGAGTAAACCGCATGAGTTAACAGGTATAAGGAAACATGAATAAAATAGTAAAATTATCGTAAGATAGCAGAATAAAATCGTAAGGCTAAATTGCAGAAATGGGCCTTAGGCCTCGATTTAAAAGAGGCTGCTGTGGGCAAAGCCCCTGACGGATTGTGGCACGGATCGTGGCACGGATCGTGGCACGGATCGTGGCACGGATTGTGGCACGGATCGTGGCACGGATCGTGGCACGGATTGTGGCACGGATCGTGAGCTTAGACCACAGGGGCCGGCAACTTGCGGCTCCAGGAGCCGACTGCGGCTCTTTAAGGACCGCTTCGTGGCTCACGACATTAGAATAGCAAAGTAAAAGAAACACAGCTAATTATTTTCGATCAACGGTGAACGCCTAAAAGCCCAACAACGATTCGTAATGCGGCATTAAAAATCATTGTGCTGTGCGCTGTTCTCCAAGTGTTGATCACAAAAATATGGTTTGACATTATTCATAAAGTACCATCCTCTATTCGCATACATTGCAGCTCTCGAAATATTTCGTGTTTTTTTCACTGAACTTGAAGAAAATGTTTCTTCTAGTTTAAACAATCGCCGCTGTTCGACGAATCTCTGAATTTTTGCATTCCGAAGCATCAACACTGAGACGGCCACTGTGTGGGTTCTGTGTCTTGCAGGCGGGGAGCGATGGAGAGAGCATTGGAAATTGCCCTTTTTCTCAGCGCCTCTTCATGATCCTCTGGCTGAAGGGCGTCGTCTTCAACGTCACCACAGTGGACATCAAAAGGTACCGACCGTGTCGAGAGGGCCTGCGGACAGCGTGCGCTGGCAGACCAGTTGCTCGTGCTGATCATTCGTCCTGTTTGTCCAACATAACATTTTCCACACGTGCAGTTAATTCTGTACACACCTTCTGTTGATAGCTTCGGTAATACATCTGTTGTACCAGATATTAATTTCCGTATTGTATGTACCGTGCCAAATCTGACTCGGATGTTTTGTTTTTCCAAACATCTGGCTAGTTTATCAGTTACTCCTGCAATGTACGGTATTTTGATCGTTTTCATTACTTGGGTCATTTCAATGCTCTTGTCATTTGATTTGGTTTTGGTAGTCAATGCCATGTTGATTTGTGCATCATTGTAACCGTTCATTTGCAGCACTTCTTTAAGAAGATCAGTTCCACTTCTCAGACTGTCACCATCTGACACTTCCTTAGCTCGATGAATGCACGTCTTGATAAGAGCAGATAAGCGTCAGTATGCGTTTTCCTTCGGTAAACACTGTGTGTTTTTTTACTATTTCGACCCCGTCCGAGCAGAATATCCAAAAATGGTAGAGTTCTGTCAGCTTCCACTTCCATGGTGAACTGGATGAATGGGGTTTGCGAGTTGAGATGATTTAGAAATGCGTTCAGTGTATCTTTGCCGTGTGGCCAGACCAACAATGTGTCATCCACATATCTAAACCAAGCAGATGGTTTTAGTGTGCTTGAAGCTATTGCTTTTTAAATCCTTTATATTAAGTTCGCTTGCTTGCTTGCTTGCGTGCTTGCGTGCTTGCTTGCTTGCTTACGACCGTGCAAATCTTTCTGTCGTTTTTTAACCCACTTCCCGTGATCCAATCGAGCTGACATTTTCCACACAGACTCGTGCGTGACAATTAATTTTCGTGAAAATTTTTTTCCAAAATTTTACACTGTTTAGGGGGAAAAAAATGTAATTACCAATTGCTTAATGCTGGCAGACAATCATTTGACCCATAGGTGTCAGCCATCTCAAGCCAGAGAACGAGAGGACTCTAGCCGCCACGCATATAAAGGATTTAGAGTGAAAAACTTTGTTTTTACGGGTAAATTTTTTTCAAAATCTTCCATGTACAAATTCGCTATCACAGGAAACAAAGGAGAGCCCATTGCTGCTCCTTTCTTTTGTTTATAGAAGTCACCTTGCTACAAGAAGTAGGTGTTCTTTAGACAGTGTTCAACTAGTCTTGGGATATCTTTGGCTAAACCTTTGTTCATTACCAGTGTCGGTAATTTAATTGACTCGTTGACCGGAACCCTCGTGAACAGAGAAGTCGCATAAAAATTTACGAGAATATGATTAAGGTTAAGCCTAATATCTTTAATTATATTTACGAGATGTTCATGGTTTTTGATGAACGAAGAGGTCCTACCGATGTAGGGCTGTATTTTTATTCATTACGTATTGTGCTAATTAGTACGTGGCAGAGCCTATTGTACTATGGGTCTTAATGGGACGTCAGGTTTGTGAATTGTTGGTAGTCTTGGTGGTTTTGATGCCCTTGGTTTGATCAGGTATTGCTCTTCCTTGGGAATTGATGACTTGGCAATGATTGCCGTTGTTTTACATTGCAAGGTGCTGGTTGGGTCTGGTTTAATTTTAAGGTAGGTACCTTCATCGAGTAAATCTATTATCGTAATCCTCACGGGGCATCACAACAGTCGATCGGCCCTTATCAGCAGCAATAATTTTTATATCTTTATTTGCTCTCAATTCTCTGAAGGCTTTTGCTTCACTGAAGTTAATATTTGTTTTTTGACAATTTGCTGTTCTCAATAAGTTTGGCAACCTCGTGCCGAGTCATCTCAGCTTTATTATGGGGGAGATGTCTAACTGCTGATTCCACTTCAGAAATTATCTCATCGACAGGGATTGTACGTGGGGCAACAACCTTTAGACGGGCCTGAAACCATATCGCTGGATAATTCAAAGTTAGTCATGTTGATAACCGTTTGGTTTATAAAATTTTCATTTTTAGTTGAGAGTTGTTTGTTAGTCAGTCTAGCAAATGTGTTAATTTGGGAAGTGTTAGTTTTATTAAATACATTATCAGCTGATTGCTGTGTAATTGTATCGATTTTATTCCAGTGATTTGTAGAGCCCCTCTTCCTCAGTTGTAATTACTGGCGAAACGTCGTACTCAGATTGTAAATGTTGTGGCTTGGCTCTCCAACACACCGGTGTGCTGTACTAGTGACGAATTGGCACGTTCTGTTTACGTGACAACCCTTACTAGTTGGCTGTGTCGGGTGGTGGTGGGTATTAACGACGCATTTATATATTTATGCGATCTAACCCAAAAAAAAACATATTAAGGATGATTTTGGTCGCGAAAGCCTACGCGTTAAACCAACTCGATACATTTGTCATGAACGCTGCCTTAAAAATGAAACAATAAATCATACAATAAGCTTATTCATTTTCAATGTAAAGCCACAGTGTTACTGAGGAATGTGTGTTGAGTTTTATTGTTAAGTGTTTATTGTGATTGGTGCTTGTGCAATGTATCACCCAAACGATGCGCTTAAATAATTGCTTTACTCTACAACACACCGGTGTGCTGAACTAGCAACGAATTGGAATGTGTTGTGCACGTGACAAACCTTAATCATTGGCTTTGTCGGGTGGTGGCGGGTTTAACGACACATTCATATTTACGCGAAAGCCTACGTGTTAAACTAAATAATAGCTCAATTTTGATTTAAAGCTTTCGTGACTGCAGGGATTCATATTCTTGGTTATTTCGGTAAAGCCACGTAGAAGGGAAATAATACAATATATATTTATGAAACAATAAAATTCTCACGACGTTTCGACTGCAACGTAAGCAATCATCATCAGGTGTGAAATGATGATGATTGCTTGTGTTGCAGTCGAAACGTCGTGATAATTTTATTGTTTTATATATATATTCACTTCTACGTGACTTTACCGAAAGAAACAAGAATATAAATAATAGCTGTTGGAATTTTTATTTTTTATGTGTTGCCTGTAATTATCAGAGGACTCTTTACATTGCGGAGCCCTAAAGAGACCTGGTTTTCAGCGAGAAGCACTTGATGTGTGAGCATTGTTACGCGGTGTGCGATAATTCAGCAGTGGGAACTAGGTCATGCGATGATTTATGAATGTGGGCCTACTTGTAAAATTCCTCATTTAATGATCACTGTCAATTATCACAAAGATGGCAAGGGATGGTCTCCAGCATTTTTGTTTTAGTTTTAGCCAAACAAATGAACCGAGTGAGGTCGGCCATTTGTCGGCCCCCAGTGTGGAATGCATTAATTAGTGCCTCAATCAGCGTGACAATTAGAATAACAAGTTTGTGTAAATTAGTGCATTTCGGCGTCCGTGGTCCCATCGTGCAGTTACTCGGAGTTCAGCAACGTTCCATAATCCCGCAGCGTGGCACGATCGGCCCCTGACGCTGAAATTTCGCTGCCTCTGTGCAATTCCACTCCGCGGTCGCCCCCCTCACCCCCCCCCCGAGTGACACCACACAAAGGGCAGCTCAATAGCCTCGCGTTCAGCGTGCTCGCCACCGGGACACTACTGCCGACTCATCGGTCCTATTCTGACAGCAGTCCGGTAGTTTCAGCGCACAGTTGTTTACTGCGATGTGGACGACCAAGACCCCCGTGATATGCATCACAATCGTGATCTCCGGATTATAAAACGCCACGGGATGTGAGACGCACAACAACGTTTTGGGCGCTTAAAAAAAAAATACGTTTACGAACCTGGGGAAGACAGCATCGCTACAGACCGTCACCTTCACGCAGCGTCAAGTTCAAGTTCATTTATTAGGTATAGCCCTGTGAGCCATTCGGCTCTTGAATCGGGTGCAACCGCAACAAACAAAAAACAAAAACATGAACAAGAAAACATCTTAAAGTGACTATGTGCAAACAGAAAATCCAAGAAAAGACAGCAAAATATTGCAGAAAAAGCACCGTACACTAACACTGCAAAAATACCAGTGGGATGCAAGTCAAACAACAACAACAACAACCACAAGACAACTTAGATTAAGGCCATCAGTCTAACTCTGTACTACAACAAACAAACATGGCCAAACCAAAAAACTTTTCGAAAATCACCAAAATAAAGCCATGAAAGCAATGAAACAGTGATCATAGGAACTGTGACCGAATTTTCACAATAAACGACTTAAACAACATGTACCACCACGGGGAAAGAGAGACATAATCAAGAATATAATTCCGAACAATAAGATTAAAACAAATCTTCTGGGAAACAATGTATTGCTATGGTGAGCCATCTTTTGGAAGGTGATTATGAACACGCAGCGTTGAAATTAGGAAAGAGAAACGTGTTCAGGATCACTCTTCTTTCCGATATTAGGAAGCCATTGGAGCTATTCACTTTTAAATCAGAATCTAGATTGAACACTCATTTCTTTACATCAGCTTTTTGTGATTAGTTTTTTGTCCATCCCCCGTACATCCGATTAGCACGGTAGGCTACATACAGTGCGAAAGAAGTTCAACATACATATGTAGCGTATCTAACGGAGACACACACTTTAACTTGGAGGCAACACGTTTATAGAACAACCCCAACAGAGTAACTACATAACACACAACGATAGTTAACTAGACCCCAACAGGGTAACTACATAACCGGGTCAGGCCAGGAACGTCCTGCCTGACCCACGATGCCAAACGTGACGACCGAAGACCGAAGATCGAGGAGACATAGCATGGCGGGCTGATTCCAGAAGACAGCCGCGATCGCTCTCGGGACTTCCCTTTTATACCGCCGAGCGTGGCCTCGCTCCGCCTTTGGTCACGCCCCCTTCTGGCTCTTACCAGGAGGTTCTCGACCAAGCACCACGTGTCCCTCGAGCCCCCTTTTGGGCCCCCTCGCTACCCTGTCCCGGTCACGTGCCCTCTTCTGGTTCACCCAGACTGTCACGTCGTTACTTGCCCTCTCTCTGACCGTCACCAGAACCATGCCC